GAGGTCCATCATTTTAAATATAGTACGTAATATTTTTTTTTTTGATTTTTCACGTAATAGTTATATTTACCGCATATCGTTCCGTACCGCGTTTCTTTGAAGGTACCTTAAGAATATATTTAAGCATATTATTCGTCTTATTAAATTAGCTATATACATTTTCTTTTCACATACACTAGGTTGTTCTGATATTTTATATTCAGTATATACATTTATCCTGGGGAATTATAAATTAAAAAACATGTGTAAAGGTCACCCTTTTGTTGTGTTCTCTTTATATAAATATAATTTTTCTAAAAACTAATAGTGAGATATATGATAATAGAATAAACGTAAGTATTTCTATAATGCATTGATTTCTGTATATCTTGATCTAAAATATAACTGTAAGTTGCCTCTACTTACCTATTTCTTATTGCATTTGAATACAACTGAACTTAAATGGAAGGTACTAAAGAGAAGTATAACCCCACAGTAAAAAAACGGGTTTGAGTTTTGATTTTACAGACTAAATGTTGTAGAGGCTATGTCCATAAAGGCCATAGCCCTATTTAAAGTTGGTTGTGAGAAACTTAACATGCTTGTAGCCTTTGTGTTTTCTTTCAAAATCTTTCAAAAATCATATTGTAGTTATATACATCACGCTCTGACAATAGGCATGCTATCCATCAAAAATCAGAGCAATGAAATGTTTAACTTCTGATGAAAAGGTACAATCTTTTAAATAAAGACATATTTAAATATATCTATAACTGTATTTTATAATGAAATAATACAATTCTATTAATGTAGGGTATTGCAGTGAGTATCGAGTAAGTCTCATTTTTCTTTAAGTTTGTTTGGTTGGAATGAAACTCCACTTTGTAGAAAGCCTTTACAAACAATCTGCTGTTCACGTAAAATAATTCTGTCTGATATCTGATATTTTATATTCCTAAACTACTGTACAATACCATCATTTAGAGAAAAATAATTATTTACACATATACATTGAATTTATAAAAATGATATTTTCTGTTTTTATAGTATTAATAATAAATTTCTTAATATTAATAAATATACTACTTCTGTTATAGTATATAAATAGATTTACTTTAAACTTGACATATAACCAAATCACACCAAATATAAGCATCATCCTCCCACATAAATTCAGAAAAAGCTAAGTTAATTTTCTGTGTTTTATAGAAAACTTGATAAAAATACACATTTATATCCATGCTTATTATGATTTTTATTGAAAACTCAGTTTCTATTAAAACTATATTTAAAGGTAAAAAAAAGATTTTTTTTAAATATTTTTTATAGAAATTTTCTATCTCTACTTGTTTACTTATCTATAAATTTCTAATAAAAGTTTTTTTTTTTACATATTTTTGCAGTTGCTCATGAAAACCAAACGCTTTCCAGCAAAGTCGGGATTCACGTGACATGCACATTTGGCTATTCAAAAACAAACAAATCATGCAAAAGTCTTAACTAAAAACTGTGTTTTTGGCAAGAAACGAGAAAAACGTGCGCTGGCGCACATTCCATTACCACAAATCACCCAATATGCGCCTCAAGTCATTTAACCTAAAAACAGTCAAATAAAGTGAAAATTCCAAATAAATAGAAATAAATAAGTGAGAAAAATAGAAATTAATAAAAACGCATATAAGTGAAATTAGCCAAAATATTTAATAATATAGCAAATAAAGTAAATAAAGTAAATAAAGAAAATTCAAATAATTCAATTAAAATTTATGTAAAATCAGTCTTGAAGTCACCAAACATGTATCGGTCGAATTTCTACGAATCCACCTGCCTGCGATGCAATGAAACAGTATACCAAGTTGATAGAGTGGGTCCACTTAAAGATTTCACATTCTTCCATTCGGGTTGCTTCAAATGCATACACTGTGGAACAAAATTAACCTTAAAAACATATTTCAACAATCAACATAAGCAGGATGACAAAGAGGTAAGGCATCTAACATATCTATGGAATAAAGTTAGTATATTTAATCCTATGTGTATATGATAATTAAGTATAAGTAGGTTTCCATTTTATATTGCATACATCGATAAATGATAATGGTAAAAATTTAAATTTTATGTGGTTTAAAAAAAATTATAATTCTTATTTAGGCCTTGTGCGAGTTCGAGTAAATTTAGGTCAAGTAAATTGAAATTTCCTAGGGATTTTTTGCACTGCACTTATGTAAATATTTATTTATTTATTGCACTTATTTATTATTTTTGGTTAAAAGTTTTCAAATTTATTTATCTATTTATTAAACACCTTATAAAATTTTCACAATGGTAACACCTAATTTATCTAATTTTTATCTAATTTACCTTATTCGAAATTCTGGTAAATACCAACATTCGCTGCCATACCGACATAATTTACTATTTCCCTAAATTTAGCATCAATTTACTCGAACTCGCATACGGCCTTAATATTAAATTGATTTTTAATAGCGGTTTTAATGAAAGAAACTTAATTCTTAATATAAACTATTGTATTTCGAATAGCATTAAATTACAGCATTACCATTTTATTAATTAATTGAATTTTTGACTGACCATACAACTGTATCGAGTATTGCCAAATATCCATCAACAGTGGACATGAAATTATTTCATGTATTTGATTATTCGTAAAAAATTTTTTGAAACTGCAGGTACCAAGGATTGAACTCATGCCCTGCCAAATTTAAATCTTAGAGTCAGCGTTCATTAGCCAATTGACCCAAAATCGTACTTGACTTGTATGTTTTTATTAATTTACACTTAACCAATTGACTTGCTATGTTATATTATAACAGAATCATAAAACAGCTGTAGAATAATTGCATTAATTAATTATAGTTTTATTTTTAATTGTTAAATTTCAATACTATTCTTTTGTAGAGGTATTATATATTGCATGATTTTATTACTCTCTCTTGTGTATAGAATCTAATCTAGGAACCTAATAAGGAGAAAGTCATGCTACCTTTACCCCACGATTCGCTCAGACGAGATCGAAAAGGTTAATGAATATTTTTATTCATATTTTATTCCATAATAATTTTATATTAAATTTATTTCTTATTTATTGAACTCTTGATTGAACTCTTATTTAATAAAATTTATTTAGTTAAAATTTTATATATTTCATATTTTTATGAAATAACTACTTACTTACTTGACCATAACAACCTGTTGTTAAGTTTTGGTCCGAGGCTTTCTCTTGTCTCGTGTGTTAAACCTGACTAGTACCTCCTCAATTTGACCACTAAGTCCGATGCAGATCATTTCTCTACTTAATCCAACTGCTACCATAAATACTTTTTTCGCTGGAATAAATATAGTCATCCATTCTTCGAAATGACCGAGCCTGCGAAATCGCCGCGTGTTACATTGTAATGTTACTGTTATGATAAAATTTTTACATATCTTACATTCTATAATGCGATATATACCTGCCACTGCACTGCAATCCATTTGGAAGTCTTCCATAAAAATTGTAGCGGAACCGTTTAACAAAGATCCAATTGCTCACTTTTTCTTTGAGGGTAGAATCGTAGTAATATTTCTGTTGAATGTCACTCTCCGGATGATTTTATCATTTTTATCGGTAAAACTACAGACCTTTATATATCACCAAGTTTATTAATTGTGTATCCTTTATTCAAAGCTTTTCACCAAACTACTGATCGATACAATGGAATTAGGCGTACAACCTCTACGTACATCCATAGTGTTTACTTTGACTGAAGATCCATTTTTTATTTGTTGTTTGGATCTGTTTACAATACAGATCCTTGCGTTAACTTTGTAAAAGCATTTTATTTTCTAGATACAGTTAATGAGTTTCAATAAGTCTTCTTAGTATCCATATAATCACTTATTATGCCAATGAAGCAACAGTCCACTAGACATTGATTCAATGACATAGAACATGGTTCAAAAATTGATAAAATTAAATATTATTTGACTTCTTTTATTTAAAGTGATAAATTATCTTTTACTTTCAATTTTAAAAAAAGATTTTAAAAAACCTAAACATAAGTCTGAAGACATATTATATAAACAAATTATTCATTATCTCTTAAAAATGGATGCAATCCAATTACCTTTGCAAATATTTTCCTCTTAATTTTGTTTTCAAGTCTAAAACATCGCTTCGGTGTGCCACATTCAATATGGTTATCATGACAGTTTGTTAGGAATATTATGTTTTCCTGTTCCGCCTTTTATAGTTTATACAAAATATTTTTAAATTAATACTGAAATTATATATGTGGATTATAAAAATACGTAACTCGCAATCGAGTCATTACTAATAATAATAAAATTTTTGAATGGCTGGCAACAAAGTTACGCAAATCCCAAAATGGCGCTAGTCAAAATGGTCTAAACAGCTCCGCCATATTTGGCGGGCATCGACTATTTTGCAATAAAATCACCTACATATTATGCACATTTGATGTAAAAATTAATTAATTAATGAAAATACGAATAGAATATTTAAAATATCTGTACGTACAATATTGCTTAAATTACCTAATAATATGTTTTTTCAATAATTCTTATTAGTGACAATATACTTATACACTTAAATATCTCATATATAAAAAAAGCAGAAAAACAAAAAATTAGTCGTCCCACTATAATAATCATCAAAGTACTGCATAATTCTATAAAATTGATCTTATTGATCCACAACAACCACATGTCAATACTATTACATTTAGTTATTCGCTCAAAGGATCTCTTTTCAATATAATATATATTATTTCGCCTTATTTTTCTAGTCTCCTTGACTACGCTCATATATTATACGTATATATAAATATTATTGATTAATGAATACTCAAAAATTACAAACATTATGTAAAATAATAAATGGATACTAGCACCCTACCAATATTCTTCTTTCTTAGCATTACGGTGCTCGGTGGACCAGTGCTTCCTTAACCGATTCTTGCTATCTGACTCGATCTGATGTCAAGTTTTTTCAATCGCTTATTAAAACTTCTTCAGAATCTTCTAGCCAGCTCTTTCTAGGTCGGTCTCTTCTTCGGCATCCAACTGTACCAATATTACACCAGTCCAATCTTTCTTCAGCTGAACTGTGATTTATGGTCACAGTACAGTATAGTAAACATTTTCAATAAGATTACCGAAATATAAGTAATTAGTTAATTGTGTCCTCAATCTTCAATACTTAAAAATTTTGTTATATACTATATATATAATTGTTAGTTATTTGTTATTATTGTTTTTTTACTAGTATTATTTATTGTTATTTATTTTATTTTAAAAAAATGTGTTGATAAAATGTAAATAACTATCAAATGATTTATTTATTTTATTTTCAAACAGGTCTATTGCAGTTCACATGTACCAAAGAGCGGACCAGGTCACCTAGATCAAACATCTGTGGGCATAAGACAAGCCTTGAATGCGCCGCGCACCAACAAATATGTTAACGAACAAATCCGCGGTACACGCAGCGAAGTCGACGGTAAGCAAAATCTAATTCACGCAAAACGTGTGAATTTTAATTAAGTCGCCATATTTGCTGTTAATTTAATTTAAATTTGAATGCCTTATATTTGCATACGAGTACATTTGCTAAAATATAATTCAATTGATATGGTGTGTATTTTATTGCAAGCAAATGTAAATCTTACAGGTCCTTTGGGCTCACGTCAGTCTACGCCAAATGGTTATGGCAGCCGAGAAGTCAGTTCGCCTTCGCAGAATGATTCAGACTACAAATATGGTCGTTTCGATGCCAGCGCCCTGCACATTGCACATGCACTCAAGCAAACTGAGATACAAAAAGCGTATAACAAAATGCGTGAAAAACCAATCGATTTCTATTTGGTAAGCACAGACAATATGTAGATATTAAATCAATTTTATTACATAAACAAAAAACGGCATACATATCTAAATCAATGTAAATATATAAAAGGCCATTTTTCTTCTTCCATTCAAAAAAAATTAAAACCTTTTTTTTTAAATTTTTGCTCTTCAATTAATGATATTCCAGTTTAAGCTGCTACTAAAATGGTTCCATGAACACGATAAGTGTTATAAAAATCTCATAAGGCTACAAATCCTTTTTGTAGACTTCAAATAGACTCTTGATAGTCTTATAAGATCTAAAATCTTTATTGCTTTGGCATGGGTAGGTGCTTTTTAAAATTTTGTTGGTCTATTTATTATGATTTTTGATTACTTAAACAGGCTCTTGATAGTCTCAAAAGATTTGAAGTCCTTAATGATTCTTGAGCGGTCATTAGAAAAAGTTACTCTTCAATGCAGCATCAAATAATCTTAGGTATTAAACTCTACACTATGAAATTTACTCCCT